GTTAATTGTATTGCACATTGGCAGCGACAAATGATTTGTGGAAGATGGTCTACTAGCATTTGAATCTAAGTCTACAGAAGACTATCATGAAAAGATGGATGGTGAAAGATTCCTTAATTGGTTCATTAATATAATGCCTAAGCTAGAACCAGGAAGTGTGGTTGTCATGGATAACGCTCCCTTTCATTCGGTAAGAGTCGAAAAAATACCAACAACCAGCTGGAACAAGCAGCAAATAATAGATTGGCTGTAAAGCAAAGGCAAATCCATGGACATGACTTATTTAAAAAAATAATTATTAATGAAAGTTGCCGAAATCGCCCCACAATATAATAAATATTTAATAGATGAGACTGCCAAAAGTAATAGCATTACAATTCTTCGCCTACCGCCTTACCATTGCAAACTTAATCCAATTGAATTAGTTTGGGCCCAAATAAAAAATTATGTTGGTACCAATAACTCCACGTTCAAAATGATTGACATAAAAAAATTATTAGATGACGCAATAGCATTAATAGACGCTAATCGTTGGAAGAAGTGCTGCGACCACGTGATACGCGAAGAAAATACCATGTGGAATTTGGATGACATCATGGAACTTGCAGAACAAAATTCTTTCATAATTAATGTAACTGGAGAATCTAGCGATACTGATTAGTGATTTAAGTAATTTTAAGAAAATTTGTTTCCATTAAACTTAATTAAATGTTTGAAAAAAAAAGAATTTTTACTCCACTGTGAATACACCTTTACCCTGTAGTTGCACTGATGACTCACTATTTTCTAAACGCGAACGGACTATAGTCGCGTAAAAGTGCCGTAACGGACGAGCGGATAAATGTCCATATGAAAATTATTATATGCTCATTATTATATGCCATCAAGCTGGGTCAGGAGTTGGAGTAATTTACAAGGGATCACCATATCAACGCGGTCAAGGTATTGGGAGCTTCTTAGGGGGTTATTTAAATCAGTTTTACCTTTACTTTCAAGAGGTGCTCGAGTGATTAGCAAAGAGACATTAAACGCTGGAGTAGGACTTTTATCGGAAATGGTTGAATCGTGACCTATAGAAGCCTCAGTAGAAGATCGTCTAAAGCAAGTTAGTACGAATTTAAAACGAAAGGCTGATGACAAAATTTATCAATTTAACATGACAGGATCTGCGTACATAACTAAAAGAAAACGATTGGCCTCGTTCATTCCACCATTAACTGCTAAAGTGAAAGCTGCGAAAAAACTTAGTCTAAAACAAAAAAATATCAAAGATATATCTTCAAATTAAATATATTTTCCATCATAATCATTTTTGTGAGTGCCTTAAGTCGGAATTGGTTTTTTTTGCACTACGGCCTACACAAACAAGCATTGAAAATGGATTGTGGCTTCACTATAAACCAATTTCGTCTCTTGCTGATAATGGACACGTCGAGTTTCAAGTTCCCGGGACAGGCGATGACTACATAGATTTGTCTCATACATTACTCCACATTTGCTATATAAGTTTCAGGGATGTTCAATGCATAGTAGTGATGCAACAGAACTCTGTTCCTGTTTCCGCAACTGCGGAAGTTCTGAATGATTTTCAACATCCGTTTCTGCTTCTGTTTCCGCAAATTTTATTACGGAAGTTTGAACGGAACTCAGCGACGCAGCCACATGAGTAGATAAAATTCCGTTTATCTACTCATGTGACGCAGCGGACGAGGTACGCCGCATCGTTTGATAGTTGAGCACATGTAAGAGCGGGGAAGGGCATTTTAGCTAACCACCAGCGAGCTGGGTACGTGCTTTCGGCACTTGTTCCCGTTGGTTTGCTTACTTACTTTTTTTAACTTTATTATACGGCGTGACGTGAGGGTAAGTGCGTAAAATTTTCTGTTTTATTTAGTTAATTATTAATTTGAGTCGTGTTACACACTTAAGCGCAATCATGAAGCTAAAAACGAGTAATGTTTGGAACTATCATGTTGAGATTGTTGATTTAGGATCTAGATGTAAATTATGTGACAAAATATACTCGCAAAAAGGCGGCACAACTACCGCTTTAAAGAGCCTTCTTAAAGCAATACATGCCGAAGAGTTTGCAGAGTTTGAGAAGTTATTTAAAACTGTAAAACTTGCACCGCAAACTACAAAACGAATGCTCAGTCAAAGAATTGCATACACATTCATTTATATAATGTATTCCTCTGTTGTAGTAAAAACCCGTTTTTAGTTAAAACGTGTTTTCTCTAGTTAAAACTAGTTTTTGATAAATGCCTTTGTTACGACTAAGATTTGTAAAATTAATTAGGCAGCAGTTATTTTGTTGTGAAGTTTAAATAAATTATTTTTTACGTAAGGTTTATATTATTTTTTACGTAAAGTTTATGTTATTTATTTTTATTTTAGGCATATATGAATTATTTTTAAAGACACTAATGAGTATTTTGGATTCAAAGTTCGTTTACATCGTACTTTCGTGCTAGGGTTGTACTCAATTACCTACTAGCTAAACCTAAACGTGACTTTTTAAATGCTCTGCCTATATTTTAGCATCGCCAGTGAGCAATTATTTATCGGAACTGGACTTATATATGAAGAACTCCGGAACAGACTGTTAGGTGTAAAAGTGGTCAAACTACTTTTCATAAAATGTAACTTACCGTTATTTAATTTTGAATGTTAATAAAAAGTTTCATTTGCATTTTTTTAACAAGTAGTATTTCCGTTTCCGCATCCGTTTCTGTTTCCGTTTCTGCAAAAAATATTTTTAACATCTGTTTCCGTTTCCGCTTCCGATATGACACTTCCGTTGCAACACTAATGATAGTTTTACAAGCATATTTACAGGGAACACACTGTAGTTTCGCTCTAATTTTTTAAATAATAAGCAATAAAATTTTGGAAATAAAAATTTTAACAAATTAAGGAATGTGTTTACAGAATAACTTGGTAGTTAAACAAAGAAATATAATACAATAGAACAAAGCACAACTACAACAAGTAGATAAGAAGCGGTAGTGACGGTGTTCAAGAAACAATAGACAAGAGGAAAGGTTGGAAACAATGGAAACTCTAATGAGGGTGTAGGCTCATCGGATATCAATTAGATATTAGTTAATTGATCTGCACATCTCCGGAACCGCGCATCCAACGCAAAAAAGGATCAGAGCATGACAAATCTTTTTTTTAGGATCCGTCGACCCACCGGCAGATGACTATAAGTCATTTATTATATTTTATTTATAGTTTATTCCAGTTCTGGCTCGTGAGCCGTAGTATATAAAGTTCTAAAAAAAGTTTTGAAAATAAACTGCAGGCACTAAGTCCGTCTATATACTTCATGTGTATATTAAGTTTTAAACAAAAGTTTTTAAAATAAATTGAATAAAAGATTTTGACTCCAACTATGACCACGGCACAAACTACAGCACTACGGGAAAAAATTGCTGCTGAGTTTTTCTCAAAAATCTTTCGACATTGTTTTATTAAGCGAACGATATTCCTATGTTCTCAATGAGATATGATCCCTTATACTTGCGATGTACTCGTAGTGTTTCAGAGACTGAACTTTTCCTTCATTTTTGTATGAAATAATTATGTTTTGATAATAATGAACGAAACTAAAACTATATGAATCGAAAAGAAACCTATCTTAGTGTTCTCTAATCAAATTTTAATAGAAAACTACAATAAGTAATATGACAACTGTCAAGGCTATAGGTGCCACTAATCAAGTTTAGATATTGGGTTTATGCATAGCATTAAATTTATCCATTTTCAATAAAAATTTCAACTGTCTGTATAAACGTCATATAGTAAGTTATGCGACTTTACTTTATTTAGAACACATATCCTAATTTTATGGCCACTTTATAATATGTTCGTTTTACGGACAATAACAACCATCGCAAATGTGCAAGCGAATCCTCATCTATGCGAATAATATGTTGATATGCACACTAATACAAGCAACCGTGTACTATTCTTACAATGATTTTGGGTTTTAACAGTTTCGCGTTTTTTAACTTTTTCCCTTTGGGGTTTTTTGTGGGGGGGGGGGGGGCGTTTAACATGAACACTTAAGTTCTTATTTTAAAAAGATACTGTAAATTATAAATGCAGTTTGTTATTTTTTAATTAATTCATATTTAAAGAGACCAAGTTACAAACATATTGCTTATCTTAGATGATTCATTGAAAGAATTGATTAATAAGCTGTGGGATGTTTTTCTACAATCCGCTTGAGTTAGTACCATCCTCTAAACTATTTCTTCTGCTATGTATCTATGCGCATCTATTTTGTTCTAGTAGAAAGTATGACAAACCATATAAATTACAGCCTACGAGACATTTTCTTTTAATCTTCAGTGATGAGATGTGCATATGTAGCATTCTTTGTTTGAATTTAGTTGAAAGTTAACGTTCAGGAGTTAGTGGACTGTTGTCTTGTGTCACCGTAACTTGTGTTAAGGATACACGTTGACAGACTTTGTTCTGCCCTTTGCGGTGGACAGTGCGATGAGTTTCACTCTGAATTCTTTCAAAACTATTCACAATATAAATATAAAATTTATTAATAACTCGAACAGAGCGGCAGCTATCAGCTCCAGATTTAGTGTTTTTTTGAACACTAAATCAATAGAAAATATTTTTATGTATTTTATATATTCTTTACGCGGTATAGCTATGCTGCAGTTATATTAGTAGTATAGTTGTAGCGCGAATGGTTCGGCTCGACCGGGACCACGCTCTCACAGAATACCAGCGTAAAATAATAGCTTAATGCTGCTGTATTTCGTATGGTGAGTGCCGAGAACCGGATACCCTTTTTACTGAAATATAGAATGTGTCAAATTCTTGACTGTATCAGTTGACTTGACAAAACAAATATATTGTGTGAACATGACCTCGGTCAATCCCTTTTTAAGTTACTTGATCACTACCAAACCTACCGACCTACGAAGATTTTTAAATGAAACATTTAAAATTAATGATTTCCTATTCTGCAGATAGATGAATGCAATCGGCTGTGGGTAATGGACACCGGGAAAATAGGAGCGAAGCAAGTGTGCCCCCCACAAGTGCTCGCCTTTGACCTGAGCACTGACCAGTTGATATATCGGCATATCGTCAAAGAGACCAGCTACAAACCATGGTCGGCCTTTGTTACTCCCGCAAGTAATGTTTTACCT